ATTTTGAAGGCATTAAACATTATCAGAGCGTTGCGACCAGATTAGACGCTCCTTGTGTTTATTATTATATTTCGAAAACACCACAGTTTTCATGCAGCTCATACCATATTATTTTGTTGTATTATTTCCGCCACACCTTAAATGCCGGTCCCTGAAAATATTGTCTGACATAAACCGGTCCGTGGGGCAAAAAAGGTTGGGGGCCCCTGGTATAGGGTGCATTTGTATGGAACCTAAAGACGCCAACAAGTGCTGCGACCAGCGCGATTTGTGTATACTCAGTCCTATGGCTGTGTAGCTTTGATTTTCTGGAGTTTTTACGGGGATCTGCAGTGAATAGGATGCTTCAATTGACGGTTGCAGTTCACCTTTCCGTTCTCCCTCTGTTGAGCCATAGTAATTAAAGAGCCTTTCCAGCATAGTCTCCTCTGAACCGCGAGGATTAACTGCCTCTTCTTCCATCAGCCAGAGAAGGCCACGGGCTTCATCTGTCCTGGCCAGAGTACGAACCTGAAATATCCAAAAAAAAAAAAAGATAAGTCTGATTTAACCAAAAGTATACAACATTTTCACACAAACCTCAACAAACTTGCTCCTCAACCCAAAAGCACGGCTTCTGAGTTTCCTTTTAAACACGATGTACGGTAAGGTAACTGAATGAATTTCCTGACTCTAAAGCCTTAAATTTTGATTCAAAAATAATTTCCTAACAGCTATGTATATGAAAGAAATGTTGAGCCAGACCTCAAAAGTCAGCGTGTCACAAGACACGTGCATGACACGTGTTGTATTGGTGTAACGTAGTTTTGACAAGGTAAAAAGGTAATACTGTAGTCGATATGTCAGAAATATGTCTAAATCACATTGAGCAGGTGGAATATCACTAGCTTTAATAAAAGTAGAAGTAAAACAGACACTCAAGGTCTTTCAATAAAAGCAAAGAAAATGTATTTTTCTAAGCTAAACCTCAGAAAAGGATGGATGGTTATTGTATTTTATTTTTTTGTGATGCCACACAAAAACGGTTTGTAGCAAAATTGTCAGTATTGTGAGTGAGTAGTACATACATACATACTAGAGCTGGGCGATATGACGATATATATTGCAAACACGATTTTATCGTGACGATATATATCACAAAGACGATTCTATCGTGTCACTTTTCTACTCTTGTGTCTATCGTCATCTGTTATCTGCCGCAAATGAATGGAATAAATATGTCAAATGCAGCTTGTGGTCACTTATAAGGTTTCTTGAGACACTTTCATGTATCATTTAATTTCAGACGAAAAACTTCACTTTTGACACACACCTGAAAGAATCTTCCATTCAGACAGATGGGCAAGTAGGCAAGCTAGGGGAGAGGAGAATGACCTTTGTGACTTTACAGTGCTGTGAAATAGTATTTGCCCCATTCCTGATTTTTGTGTTCTTTGCATATTTATCACATACAAAGTTTCGGTTCAGCAAAACAATTTTAATATCGCACACAGACTAACCAAGGAAATACAAAATGCAGTTTCTAAATGCCAGTTTAATTTTTTAAAGCACAAAAAAAAAATCCCAAACTACCTGTTCCTTTTTTTTTAACCAACCAATTTTGCTGCTGTAGACTGCAAATTTCCCCAGTGTGGGACAAAGAAAAGGTTATCTTAACTTATCTTCCTTCCTATATGAAAAAGTAATTGCTCCACCCCAGCTCATTTTAATTAAAATAGTGACCGTGACGACGACAATTTTGGGAAAGCTGAGTTCATTTTCACAGGCAACACCGTCGCACTACATTTGTTGAATCAAGAAATGACGTAAATAGAATCTGTCAGACAAAGTAGGCGACGCGATCTCAAGAAACAAACGCATAATGCCACGATACGAAGATATTCAAGAAGAAATTTAAAAAAAAAGTTTTTGAAATCTATCAATCTGGACAAGGTTACAAAGCCATTTCCAAGACTCTGGGGCTCAAGCAAACCACTGTCAGAGCCAGTACCCACAAATGGATAAAACTGGGAACAGTGGCAAACATTCCCAGGGCATCCCTTGGAGAGTTCCTCGGTGAAAACCACTGCTGTCCAAAAAGAACACAAAGGCTCGTCTCACACTTGCTCAAAGACATCTTGATGATACTCAAGACTTTTGGAAAAACATTCTGATGTGCGGGCAGTTACGTCTGGGGTAAAATTGGCGGTGGTGGCAGTGTGATAGTCTGTGGATGCTTTGCTTGCTCAGGACCAGGACAATTTGCTGTGACCGATGGGATAATTAATTCTGCTGTCTACCAAAAATGCTGAAGGACAACATCCGAAAATCAGTTTGCGCCCTCAAACTCAAGCGCCCTTGAATCATGCAGCAGGACAACAATCCAAAACAGACCAGCAAGTCCATATCTGAATGGCTAAGAGAAAACAAAATTAAGGTTTTGGAGTAGCCAAGTCAAAGTCTGGATTTTAATCCAATTGAGATGATGTGGTGTGACCCTCCAATACGGCGGAGTTGAAGATTCTGCGAAGACGAGTGGGCCAAAATTCCTCCACTGCGCTGTGAAAGACTCATCACCAATTAGCGCAAACGCTTGAGCAAATACTTTTTCACAGCACATATGGATGATTCCTGAAACAGACTCAATTTGAGGATTCTGCTTACCAGAGCTTGAGCTGATGCTTGGTCGATAGCTGCTACAGACACTGAAGGACTGGATTCTATGTCATCTAAAGCAAGTTCTATGTTTTCCTAAATGCAGGAGGGGATAAGGTGATGGGTTAGTCATCTACACAGTCAGCAATAGTTCATAAAATTATGCAGTTTTAGACTTTACTTGATTGGGTTGAAAGAATCTGACCATTAAAAGTGAGAGAAGAAGTATACAATTTAGAAAGTACTCAAGTTAAACAGAAGACAAGAAAACAGACATAACTAAACTATAGTGATCATTGTGTGAGTACATATTCATGGTTCCTTTGCATGAATGTTTATTTCCTGTGATTGCCACTGTTCAGTTTTGTATTTAATGGCCCAACAGCACCTCTTTGTATCGCTCCATTTCTTGGACAAAGGTTCGTTCATGGAACAAAGTCTGAAGCCGCTCTTGGGTGTAGTTATGACAAAGCTCCTCAAACGTAGCTCCTCGCTGCTGCTGAGCAAGAAGTGGGTTCTGGAAACCTGGAGTGTCCACGATCAGAAGGGAGCACAAAGAGTGTTGGCTGGACTTCAGCGCTCTGAAAGCAGATCGAACATGACACCTTAAGGATCTGAATCACAGGTTTGTGATAAGGGCTCATAGAAGATCACTTCAGAATAGTCCAATGTTTTGCTTGTATGAGCTAAAGGAGCGAGAACAATGTGTACCTAACCGTTACGTGGGTAAATTCTCAAATGGAGTTACGTATAATATTTAAAGCTTGTCCACCATTTTAAACAGGAAATGATCATTTGAAATTCAAGAGTGTGACCTGTTTATGAGGGATATCACCAGAGTGAAGAGTTCTGCGTAGAGTCCTGAAGCCATTGCCTCTAAGCACTCCAGGGCCGTGATCTTCGGGGCTGATACAACAGACAAGACAGGAGAAAATATTGAAATACATTCAAACGATCTCCAACAACAAAATGGCAGCTGATTATATGTTCGCAAACAAAAATAAAATGTATTATATTCTGGGTTTTTGGTTGTTACATTTGGATGCTAGAGCTTCTACGACACAGGCGTCAAACTCAAGGCCCGGGTGCCAAATCTGGCCCGCTACGTCATTTTATGTGGCCCGCGAAAGCAAATCATGTGTGTCAACTTGCTAAAATCTGTACCGAAATGTCACATTGTCATGTGTAATAAATCACGTTGAGATTGTTGCAATAATTTTGTTGTCCTGTTTACACTCACTTGAACAATAATTGAACAAACTATTAGAATTGACTTGACTGTTTTCAAAACTAGTTATCTATTAATTTGCTGTGTACAAGTAATAATTTTGTAGTTTCACTGTCATAATGGCCCTCCGAGGGAAGATGTAACTCCAAATTGGCCCGCGACTAAAATGACTTTGACACCCCTGTTGTACGACAAGAGCTGTTCAGTCATACTCTTATATGACATCAGCAGATTTTCCTAATGCTACGTATGAACAATATAAATGCAAGATTTACTATAGGATACATTATGCCAGTGGTGTCCAAACTATAGCCCGCGGGCCAACTGCGGCCCGCGGATTTGTTTTTATTGGCCCGCAGCAAATTCTAAAAATATAGTTGAATATGGCCCGCACATGGGGCTTGAGCTACAACTCTGTTGAACTTCTCAGTTTCAACAGTAGATGGAGCCAGTAACGGAAAAGGTGCTTCTCCACTAGAAAAAATTAGGCAAAGAAAAAACATTTACCATGAGTCACCAGAAATGGCAGCACCGAAGAGACGAAAGATAGCAAGTGAGTGCAGAAGAAACACGGTGGGAAAATGAATATTTCTTCTAAGAAATCAAAGGAAAGAGTGTCTGTTTGATTTACGATGAAGATTTTCCCGTGATGAAAGAGTAGAATGTCCATCGGCACTATGAGACCAAGCATCAGAGCTACGCATCGTATACAGGTGCCGAACGAGCACGTGTCAGTATGTCACCTCTAGTGTGTGGCCCGAGCCTTTGCTTATTTTTCTGTATTTGGCCCTTACCAAAAAAACTTTGGACACCCCTGCATTATGCAACCAAATAAATATAACACGAACAGGGTTTAAGTTTTCCACTTTAGGCCGCAGTAGGATTGACAAGGTTTTTTTTTTTTTTGTGAGCTGCCAAAATGTGTCAATACTGAGGTCTTTTTTATTTTTAGTGCAGTTGTGTTATTTGATTTGTGTAGTATGTACATGAAGATCCACATTATGGAATTGTAACTTGGCAGCTTGACGATGAAGTGCCATCTGCGAAAGTAAAAATACAATTGACGTTGAAGAGGACAGTTAGATAAGACATTGATGAGTGTGTTGTAATTCTTGACCCTTGGGGTATTTAACCAAAGCATGTCACATAAGTGTTATCAAGACAATCGGAAATGATTGAATTGTGTGTCCTGCAGTGAAGATTGTACAATACCCATGATCTGATCTGATAAATCATCATTATCAGTCATTTGATAACCCACACATTCAAGTGCACTGAAGAGAAATAACCAAATTTTCTCCACAGGCCGACAAGTAAGAAAAACGGACATGATATGAATGCTGGTACTTGGAGTACATACCTGAGTCACCTTGGCTATTTTCATCTGGTCCCCCTCTGAATGAGGTGGAGTGCTTCATGCCTTTGGCCTGGTTCTTGAAGATCGAAGAAGACAGCTCCTCTAAGGTGCATCCGAGAAGGTATGCTGCCTTCTGGGCCCATTCATGACGGGCAAACTGCCTGCGTCCAGCTAAAATGCATTTAGAAAATAAATTTTAAAATAAAATATTCATAAAAGGACATTTAAAAGAAAAATAAATATGTACTGTAGTTGGAACTGATAAAAAAGAAAAAAACCACAGTGATCAAACAATGAAAACGGGAAGAATGAGGAATGAGCTTACAATGACTGCCAACTGCATACTTATTTTCTGTCCCACTGAATACTGTACTTAACTTTCTATGCCCAGCATTTTGGATCACATCAGTGTCGTATGGGTTCCAAAATACCCGACATATACCAATTTGTCTCCACGCAACCTTGGGTTACAGTACTACAGTATACAGTTTGTATAGGGTGGACTTAATACGAACAATAAAGTACCGCTGTTAATAGCAGAGGAAGACAACAAAGGAGATTTAAGTAACATGGAGCAGCACGAGTGTAATGTAGTGGTTCTCAAGATTTTCACACCAAGTGCCAATTCAAATAATACTCGTCCCTCTAAGAACTACCACAATGACCAACATTAAAATAAGGACGCACAGGAGGTCCAATCGTTCCTCAGATACAAGGCGGAAGGTTTATTCTTAAAACGTGTACTTTTATAGTATGATTGAAAGCTACTGTATGTTACATTAAGCACAGTTTGAACATGAACACTACAGTTAAATAAATTAAAATAAGAAGCAGTACTTCATGAGTCAATCAAAATGCACTGCAAAAATTTAAATAAAATTGGAACTACAGTAAATGTAACTAAATGTTTGTCAACAGTTAGGAAAGAGTCAAAGTATATGCATTGTACTTAGGTGAATAGCACTGAACTGTACTTAATTAACATACTGCACTGGATTAAAAAAAAAGTTGACGAAGTAGTTGTAGTTGAAGCCACATAAAATATTACATAACTCTGCAAAATTTGAACATTTAACTCAGTGATTCTTTAGTACCACTACCGTGAGCACGTGCAATTCTGGTGATACTCATACCACACTTAAAGAATCACTGGTGTAATAAATTGTGACACTTTTTAATGGCTGTAAGCACACAAGTATGGAGTTGTGTATCTCTTCTTCTATATATATATATATATATAAAATAGAGCTCAAGCACACATTGATATGTTGCTATAATATCACAACAGCCGATGGATCTTTGGCCATCCCGACTAAACATCGTGTGGTGGAAATCGTGTGGTGGAAACACAAGACTGTTATGGGTACATGGCCAAAGTAAATGAAAAGGCAAGAATAGTTCAAGGGTTTTTTTTTGTTTTTTTTTAGATTGAATAAAGTTCAAATACACTTGCTCGCAGTGAATGTTACTTTGTCCAAATAAAACCATTTCTTTGGAGACTTACACCATGCTTGCTCAAAGCCAGCTGTGGGTGTGGGCAGGCAGGCAAAGGTCTGGCTACACAACCACTGTCTGTCTCTTACTCCAACATGCACATGTCCAACACAATTGCACTGCAGATGTGGCAGGAATTTGAACATCCTGTATTTACTCTTGATTAAATTTCCATTTGACGCTTTGCTGTCGCTGTGACAAAAAAGGTTCTTAACAGAATGGAAATGTTTTGTTTGAATGTGAACTACAGTATATATGTAAACGGGTAGCACTCCACTTGATCAATGAAAACCACAGTACAGTGTATTTTTTTCTGAAGAACCTACTAAGTTTTAAAAACAAATGCCTGTGTTACAGAGTCTATCTCAGGTTTTAAGAATCAGTCTGCTGAATGAGCCAGGAAGAAATATTTCAATACAAGCTGGTCAACTGAGAAATATTATACATCGAATAATTACACCAACGGCAATGAGATGTGTACACAACACCAACAGAAGTAATAATAACTTAAAAAAAAAAAAAGTCATTGTGGCAAGTCAGAGTTTTTGTCTCACCCAAAAGAAAAATGTAAAATAAAGGGGAGGAGCATCAAGACGCAAACAAGGTGGAAAAAGGGCCAAGAGATGAAAAGAAAGGGGAAAACAATAAATATGCAAATGGTTCAAGGCCTGGGAGTCAGAATAAAGGCAATAAGAACAGAAATGCTAAAGAGAAAGGTTGAACAAAAGTGTTTTGAAAGTGAAAGAGACCAAAGTGTGTGCATGGTTGTCCCGAATTACCTTCATCTCCATCTGTATTTGATATGGTGCAGCATGCAAACATGCAAGTAAAAAGAGGTGGTTAGAGGGACAACGTAATTGATGGATTCATCAATTCAGTCACAAGAAAAAATATGCATTAGTATTCAAGAATCTCGATTGCCCATCATCATGCTTTCAGAAAAACACCACTTTTGCAGTGCCTTTTTTTTTTGGTACCTTGGTACTATTTATATTGCATTCTGTACTGTGTACAGTTCATTAAAAAATTATTTGCGTATGCAAATTACTTGATGTTTTTTTTCTACTTTCTTCCCTCCAAATTTTGCTGCTGTAGATTGTGAATTTCTCCATTGTGAAACAAATAATGGTTTTCTTATCTCATCTTTACATGTATACGATACAATACGTCTGGTCTATATACTCAAGTTCAGGCTATTCAGTTTTTCATAAATGTTAAAAATGTTAAATTACAAGTCTTTATTTACAGCACTTTTTAATAGCATGCAGGCTATGCTCAGGTTGAGGCTACTTCCGGCTATAAAATCACCATGTTCATTGCTAAGAAAGCACTTTAAATTTTAAGTATGTTGAAATACTTTCTTGACTACTCTTTCCTTACTCACCACCAAGTGACCCCAGGGCCCAGAGGCTAATGTGACAAGTTAAATAATGTTAATTAAATCAAAGCATTTCAAATGAAAAAAATTCACGATTCAATGCATTCCAGAATTTTAGGGATCCAAACCCTCAAATTTCTCTCTGCAAAACCGTGAGGCATGTCCATTATTTCCAGATCTGGAAGGTGGCAACCTTATTTTTGCCACTCCAGGCATGATTTTAATGACCAACAATACTGTATTGACTTTTTAGGAATCTGTTATTTGTACGGATTGTAACAGAACACATTGTGATTTATATTTCCGAGGTCTAAAAATGACTGAGCACAAAGGTGTATAAAATGTATAGGGTGGCCTTCTTCCTTTACCACCTTACCCAACCAATTTTGGGTTCATAACGACACATCCACAGCATCTTCCTGGAGTCTACATTCCCAGACACCCAGTAACTTTGATCTTTGTGCTAAGCGTCACATATCAACATAACAAATAAAGATGGAATCAGTTTTAGGGACACAAAAAGATGTTCCTACCTTTAGTTGCTCCAGCAGCCCCCAGGTGGTAAATGGCTCCCAAGATAAGCCAGAGAGCCTTCTGCTCTTCAGGAGAAATGCCCAGCACCTTCATAGCTGCCTGCAGCTTAGTAAACTGCTGGGATGCTCGCTGTTTATCCTCGGGCTGAATAAGGGAAGATCAGATCAAACTTCGGTCACCCCCTAATGTCGCACAACACATCTACACATTCATTACCAGTCAACATTTTGGAAACAATGCTCTAATTCAGTGTTTGTTTTTTAAAAAAATATTTTCCAAAAAAAAAAAAAAAATCTGAATTGTTGATTCATACTTAAGTCATCTACATTATGAAGAAATATTGATGGGATTTATCAGGAGTTAACAGCTTGAATTTCTTGACCTCTGTGTGTTTGGGTCTATTTGAATTCGAAGGTGTTTCCAAACTTTTGACTGGTATTGTTATGGATCCTTAAATTTGGATACTTGTTGTCAGATGAAGCATTACCTTTGACTGTGGAATGATGCCAAAAGTGCTGTTCTCAGCCAGATGGTTAAAGTGTAGCTCAGTTCTGTAAAAATAAAGCAAAAGTAAGACTTGCAGATGTGAAAACAATACTCTTGTACTTTTCAAGTGTTAACTGTCTACACAGGTACACTAAAGGATGTTGTGTATTGCAGCAATCTGACAACACTGGCGGGCCTTCGACAAGAAATAAAAAATGCAGGTGCAGCAAAGCGATTGGCTAATGTTACCTAAAAGCAGTAGTTTGCGACGCACATAAATGTCCGGAAGTTAATGGCCAGCCCTTTGAGCATCTCTTCTACTTCTACGAAATTGGTTCTCAGCTGTTGTCACCATTGGAACTGCAGTATCCTATTGCTAAGTCACGACTTACTTTTATAGACGTAACAAACAATACGTAACGGCACTGAATGCGCTGTTCTAGAATACCATTTGAAGACATGCAGTGCCTTGAAAAAGTATCCATACCATTGAACTTTTTCACATATTGTGATCTTACAATCACAAACTCGAATGTATTTTGTTGAGATTTTCTGGGACAGCACATAATTGCGACGTAGAAGAAAAATTATATACGGTTTTCAACATTTTACCAAATATTAATCTGAAAAGTGTGGTGTGCTTTGATACCCCAAAATACAAGTCAGTGCAAGTGCTTTCAGACGGTTGTTCAGACCCTGTTCTGTGAAGAACTCTAGTTAACAGTAAATTTAAAGCAGGATTAGGTTATTTAAAAAAAATAAAAATAAATAAAATAAAAATAAAAAGGAAGAAATAAAGAGAGAAAGAAAGGGATAAGAAATCCTTTTTGCCAAGTAGAGGACAGTGCAAACATGTGGAGGTGCTTTAGTCAGATGGGTGAATTTTATGAGCTAAATGTAAAGCGCTATGTGTGGTGGCAAAGTAACAGTGCTCATCTCCCTGAATAGCCCATCCCCACTGTGGTGGGGGCAAATTATGCTGTGGGCTTGCTTTTCTTCAGCAAGGAAAGGGAAGCGGGTCCGAATTGATGTGAAGATGGACGGAGCGAAATAGAGGGCCATCCTGGAAGAAAACCTGTCGGAGGCAGCCAGACAATGACCCTAAACCAGTGGTTCTTAACGTTGTTAGAGGTACACAACCCAACCAGTTCATATCCACATTCACCGAACCCTTCATTAGTGAAAAATAAAAATAAGATTGATTTTTTTTTAACAAATTCAAGACATAAAAAAAACGCATTTATTAAAAAGAGAAAAAAAAATTAAATAAAATTTCAAGACATAAGTATAAGTTTTTGTGCAGAAAATGGACCAGCCAGTGATGGCCAAGCAGGTGTGTCACCACTAATTGACATATTGAGTCAGGTGTGTCTTAACCTCCATGGCAGAGGCTCCGTCGAACCCCTGAGTTCGATCGAACCCAGGTTAAGAACCACTGTCCTAAATGTAAGGCCAGCGCTACAATGGAATGGTTCAAACCAAAGAATATGCATGGCTCAGTCAAAGTCCAGACATAAATCCCCTTGAGCGTTTAGGGTAAGATTTGAAAATTGCTGCTCACAGATGCACTCCAGCCAATCTGGCTGAGCTTGAGCCTTTTTTGAGAGAAGAATGGGCAACAGTTTCTGTGTCTCGATGTACAAAGCTGGTGGAGACCGACCCCAAATGACTTGCGTCGTAATTGCAGGACAAGGTGGCTTGACAAAGTACTGATGCAGGAGGGCTGAATATAAATGCACACTACATTTTTCTGATTTTTGTTTGTCAAACATTTGGAAAAATTCCTATCATTTACATTCATTCTACTTCACTTTTGTGCTACTTTGTGTTAGTCAATCATATAAAATTGCAATAAAAACAGTGAAGTTTGTGGTTGTAAGGTGGCAAAATGTGAAAGGTTCAAGGGGTGAGACTACTTTTTCAAGGCACTGTATGTATATCATATTTGGAAAAATAACGCCACATATTTCCAAGTTCAAAGTCCCTTTCAGAGCACCTAATTATGAAACTGAGGATAAACATACAAGAATGAATTAGTTGGTGCTGATCTTTTTGGGAAATGCAACAATCAATGTCTTTAGGAAGTGAAAGACTCAGACCAAAAGCAACCCTAACAGTCTGAACAGTCTGAATAATTATGCTTTAAAAAAAAAAAAAACACAATTGCAATTTTTATTTGAGAGGCTGTTCAAACGCTGCTCGTTTCACCCCAACTAATAACGTTTCTGACGCATGCCTGTCTACAGATTATTTAAAACCTCCAACTTAATATGGACGTCAGTACACAAAATCCAATGTTGTACACAATGAGCGGTCGTCTAATCACTAACCTACAGTAACACAGTATTTACTAGAAGTAATTAAGTGAATATTTGTATAAAAGAACACTTCAAGGGCATAGATACAAAACAATCTAATGAAAAACAAATACGTTGCCACAGTTAAAAACCTAGTAGTACCAGTACCACGTGAAGACTTTTTTCTTACACCATCTGTAACATGGAAATGTGTGTCTGTACGATCGTAAGCCAAGGACCTCCTCTAATTTTGTACTAACTGTGCATAACCCTCCCCAAAATGGCTCAGTGACCCATTTTGCGGTTTCAATGCACCGGTTTGGAATCACTGTTCGATACAGAAACCCTGGCAAGAGAAATGAAAGGAAGTATGTCGTACCGGATCTGTTTTGGCTACAGAGATACTAATACATTCACCTCAGGGTGCTGTCAGCCCCAGACATCATGTAATAGAAAACGTTGAAGGTCGATTCGTTCTCTGGTCGTCTGCTCACCCTCATTTTCTCCAGCAACATTGTCTAAGAAGAATAAAAGAAAACAGCAGAAGCCGCTGTTCTTCAATTGACTTTGTTCAATGACATCAGTTCATTTCTTTTTGATTTCATTCACAGTACGTCAGGGTGGAATGATTGTGATTTGTTACCTGAATGGATGCAGATGCCACTTGTCCAGCTTGATCAAAGTCAAGCGACACCACATGCGAGAAGCGACTGGCATTGGCGTTCATAGAGGTGGAAGTGTTACCGAAAGCCTCAAGGATTGTGTAGACTGCTTGCCACTTCTCCGCTAAGTGACAAGAAAAGATATTCACACGTTTATCGTATAAATGAGATCAGTACATATACGCACAATATCAATCATTGCAAATTTAGTCGCAATATTAGGTTAGCGTAGTTCCCAGGCTACATACTGTTACTTTTTTCCCCACGCTTTGAACCCCGTGGCTTTAACTCATGTATGCAAGGAAGTATTCACATGAAATATATTACATTTTGGAAGTAACTCGCCGAACACTGGTCTCGTCTGAAGAATGATATTACCAAATACGTCACAGTGAACCAATGAAACTGTCGCACTCATATTGGATCACCATTTCAGTCATTTGTGTAGTTCAGTGGGAACCTTGGATGACGATGAGTGGTCAGAAATCTTTGAGAAAAACTGGCTGCATGTGACTCAAGAGCGGCTATTGCTGAAGTTTGCTATTGGATCCCAACAGTTTGGAGCAGGATAAAAAAAATCCACTACTTGCAATCAGCTTCCAAAGGCATGGACTGCTGCATGAAAGGGAGCACTGCACAAGCTCATCGGCGCATTTGACTCCTGACGTAAGTGATACTGACAGCGATAACAAAAGAGACGGAGAAGGTGTGTAACAAAGGTGGGGCTGTTCTATTCTGACACTGAGGAAGAGGGCTTTGGTAGCTTCAGTGCGCAGGAGAGGGAAGATAAAGATACAAGATAGAATACTGTCATATTAAATAGTACAAAGTAGTATTAAACTGTTCCTCTGTGTAATAGCAACAGTTTGCATTGGTGTTATCAAACAGGCTCTGATCAGGATCAATGTCTTGTTCAAATTCCATCATAAATTTGGTAAGAAGTACAATGGTAAATGGTAATATTGTAAAGAAACTTATGACATGCAAATGCAAGTAACTAGTCATATGAAATATATTACATTTTGTAAGTAATTTGCTCAGCACGTAACATCTGAACCAACTTGGGGTTCAGTATCTTGCTCTAGGACACTTTGACATGGTTGCAATGGTCGGGGAGAGAACCACCAACCTCCGGGCTGGGATTCGACCTCTCTAACACTGAGGCACAAATGTGGCCCCAAATGGTGCAAAACACACATCTGTCCTAACGACAGCAAAGTGAAAATCAGATCATTATGAGGCACTGTCAAATTTATCAATTTGAGCCATATTCGAAATGCACAAATCATTGGAGTTCTCTGAAGCGACCTTTGGTGTAATGACAACTAACTATTGACAGTCTAAGTGCTCTTTCATCATATGTTCTATGCATCACAGTTGCTCATTTTGCTCCTTAATTCATATTCAACAAAAGCAATATAAATCAGAATATCGTGTTTCGAGACACAGAACATATTGTAAAAAAAAAAAAAAAAAAGAAATTGGGTTGACTTCCCCTTGAACTCAGATACGCTTTGTCATCCAGACATCACAGTAACAGTTTTCGCTAAAAAGGATAATGCATGCTTACCAGAAAAGATTTTGCCTGTACTGCCAGCAATAGAGACCAAATATTGGACAAGGTGCTGGCAGTTGGTGGTTTTGCCACTGCCAGACTTTCCTAGTAGAACAATTGACTGGTCCTGCCTTGTGGTGAGAAGATTACGGTAGGCCGACTGGGCCACAGAGTAGATATGGGGAGCCGAGTCTTCGCGCCGACACCCTTTAAACATATGCATCACCTGATAGGGAGGAGGAAAAGGACATAGTATCAGTCTACGACATTTTACGGATGCCTAAATTTGACAGCACCAAGTAAATCTCTGAGGCCACGCGTTGATTTTCTGCCTTCAACCTTAAACACGATAACTGGAAAATTCCGGGGGGATATTTGGAAAGCTACATTTGGCGAGGTGGACTTGCCCTGTCGAAGCACTTGAATATTTATTGTTGATGAAAAGTAAAGTACTTCAATGTTGTCATTGCAAAGCAGTAAATTTGGTTAAAAATAAAGATTAATTTGGGGATTTTATTTAGATTTAAAAAAAAATGGGACTAGATATAAGATGAATAGTTTTAAATTGGATCGGTTTGAATCGGTCATACTGTAGTGGTTGTTTTAAAATGCTATATAAATAAGGTTGAGTTGAGGCACCTCCAAACAAAACAAGTTTGCTGAGGTTTATCCCCTCGTTTGGATACACACACGGAAACAAAAAATTTTACAAGACCACCACGAGCGAAGCCGGAATATCTTGCAGCGGTCCTGCTCTACACAACAGAAGTCATCGCTGCGGTTAGCATGGATTCTCGCCAAAAAGAACAAACCATTCACTGAGATGATTAAGGACTGCATGCTGGGCCCTCTTGCCAAAAAGAACAAACCATTCACCGACACTGAGATGATTAAGGACTGCATGCTGGGCCCTCTCTTCGAGGTTGTGCCTAATGACCAAATTAAAATCAGCCATCAAATCCATATCGTTGACAGACCATCGCTGCAACACAAATTTTTCGTTTTGTTGTGCGAACCGTCTCAGCATGGATGAGTAGGTGGATCAGTGATGTGCTTCTCACGCTATTTAACCAAATTTGGCTCTGTGCATAACTCATTGCAATTGTTGTGCCGCTTTTTTTTTCCTTTAACTACTCTGAATTAGACCTCAAGAATGACTGAGAGGTCACAGTTGGCTGACACATATGGCCCACATAAAACTAAATGTCTCCTTCGCAGCCGCAAATAGAAAGCCGTCGTGTGTTAGCCAGATGTTCCGCTTATACACACACACACTTTTTCCCCATCACAATTTTCACAGTGGTCACTTACATTTCTGATTAACATGGCACAAACATTTGACTGTATGTATGAGATGATACTCTATGTATGTATGATAAAATTCAACTTCTGCTCCCCACGGGAGCAAGATGTTGTGTGCGACCTGAAGTTCAAACGCACTGAAGTTCAAACGCAATTATCAGAGTAGCTGTGTAGATTTCTGATTAACACGTCAAAACATTTGAATCTATGTATGATATGCACTGTATTTATTGTATTGGAGTGTCAACAAAAAACGCAAAAACATTAAACGACCATCGTTTTTTTGTGTAAAAATAAATAAGAATTTGATAATGGACAAATAGAAAAACATCAGAAAAAACTTGCTATTTTGGAAGAAGACTCTTTCAATGGAGGACCTGTTGTCCTTCTGCCCTCCTCACTTAAAATGAAAGCACAATAAGCACTTGTTGGTTTAGTGTGTTATTTCTTCAGAGTGAAGAGTATTTTCACTTAGTTTTATGTTGTACCACATTTATTTTCAGCTACACACCTACTAAAGTTAGGGGATATATATATATATATATATATATATATATATAGAGAGAGAGAGAGAGAGAGAGAGAGAGAGAGAGAGAGAGAGAGAGAGAGAGAGAGAGAGACAC